CTGGTTTCCTTGGAGAGCAGTTTGGATGTGAGGGCCACTAGGGCTGAACATACTCCAAGGAAAGGAACAACTTCCTCCATCCCCCTTCCCACCCCATCCCCCTTCCCATCCTATTGCACAGAGGCTAGGGTTTCGGGGCCGGCGCCAGTGCATCCCCCACATCTATACATTCACCTTGTACTGATTGAGCTCTGAGGGTAGGACTTGACCCCAAGAGAGATCCCATAGGCAGCTTGATCCCAGATGGCACCTCCCCCAGGCAGCCTTCCCTGATACATCCCCCTTTCCACACCCGCCCCCCCCCCGACCTTGCTGGGTCAGATTAAATACATACTTTAACAGGGCCTTGTACCTCGCCCACCAGAGCCCTGGGACCCCGGACGTACAGCCCTGAACCCTGTGAGAGAGAGCATCCTCTGCCCTGGAGGGCCCAGTGTCTGCAGGATAACTCAATGGGGGAGGTGAGCAGGGCGTGGGGACCCCATCCCCACGAGGACTAACCGCAGCTGTGCACATTGCTCAGAGTGTGGTTCAGGTCATACAGGTAGTGATTCAGGAAGTAGATCATGGGCAGCTGGGCGCAGGCGAAGCTCAGCTGTGGACAGAAGGCACAGGCATGATCTGGGCGGGGTCTTGGCATAGCCTTGGGGGGACAGGAGCCCTCCCACCTCTGGGGTGGCCTGCTGGTGGAGGGAGAGAGCCCAATGCCGGAGGCCCTCCCCCTGGTCAGCACTGCCGACAGCCAGGGAATGAGGTTTTAATCACTTGGGGTAAGCAAGCAGGGGAACTAGAAGGCTGACAAGACTGGAATGGGTTCCTGTGTGTGGGCTCTCAGGCTAGAATACCCCCCAGGGCCCCGTGTGTGGCACTCACATGGAAGAAGCTATAGAAGATGGTTTGGAAGACTAGGAGATAGGGCGCGTGGGAGCCCCGCGGCGGGCGCTGCTGCGGGCCCTGCTCATCCCGCTCCTTGTAGTGGGAGTACTCGTAGTACTTCTGGGCCATCCTGGACCACAAAGGAGAAGGCTTTCCCCAGCCCAACCTCTGCCAGACACCTCTGCTTCCTGCACCCAGAGCTGTGGGCTGGCCAGCCCCTGCATCTTATGGATGGGGAAACTGAGGCCCGGGGGCGGAAGGGCCAATCCCAGGTCCTCTGGCCAACGTTGGCAATGCAGCAGAGGGCAGCCAGGTCTCCAGCTTCCCACCCTGTTGTCCACCAGGCTCACCTGGTGATGTAGTTGCCCATGGAGGCCCAAAGAGGCACGATGGCCATGCCCAGGGCCACGGCTGAGGGCACGAGTGTGTAGTAGCGTTCCCAGTAGTTGGTGGAGACAAAGAGGGCATAGATGCCCACGCCCAGAAACATCATCCACTTGGTGCCAAAAAACCTATGGGCATTGAGAGAGATGCTGGTATCACGGGCTTATCGGGACTGCCAGGGCCAATACCAGAGTGCCCACAACTCTCCGTTCATGAGGCTGTGTGAGGCGGGGAGACACCCCTGGCCTTGGGATCAAGGACTCTAAGAGAGAAACTCAGAGACAGGCACTTGCTGAGCGGCTTCGGGTGAGCCAGGCATCCAAACACCTGTATTCGAGGCTGTAATGTGGGCACAGAGCCCACACCATGACTGTCTCCCAGCCACTGCAAGGATGGAAGGAGGTAAGGCGGGGTGAGGGTGTCAGGTGTCAGGGGCTTGTGGGCACATCCAGCCCTCATGTGAGTTCTGGGCTGACTCACCAACCCCCTTTTCCTCACTCATGTGCTGGGACTGCAGGGCCCAGGCACATGTCCAAGGGCCTGGACCCAACCTGGCTCAAGGAAACTTAGGAGCAGAGACAGGAAGAGGCTCCAGTGCTGGCCATGTGGAGCCAGCATCCCTTCCTCCCTGCACTGCTCTTGCCGGCCATGTGGTCAGTCAGGAAGGCTCCTCCTCAGTGGCTCTGAGACAATGTCACACGTGTTCAAAGGGGCTTGACACGCAACAGCTAAGGGCCTATTCAGGGCGTGGAGGCTGTCCAAGCTGAAGACCACCCCTGAGATCTTTGTTTGTTGAGTATGTGTGTCACTAGTTCCCTTTGGTTTCCAGGCAGCTCAAAGTGAAATGACCTTGTTTTTCTGATACAATTACTTTCTCTTCTATGACAGGGCCCTGGTTCACACAGCCAGTGGGAAATCAGCTGGTAGTTCGGGCAAGGAGCGAGGATGGGGGTTTTGAGCCACTCTGCCCGGGTTCAAACCTTCCTGTGGGACTCGGGCAAGCTGTCCAATCTCTTGGCTTCTCCGGGTCTAAGCTTAGGGCATCTACCTCAAATGGTAAGGAATGAGGTAACATTTATAAAAGCGCCCAGCACATGGGAAATGAGATGGGCTGGCAGCCGTTCTTAATAGTGATGGGTTTCAAGAGCCATATAGCCTTTCATGAGCTGGTGACCTCAGTAAGGGCCCTACTGGGAATTTATCCTGGAAACTTTCTTTTTTCATGTGCAAAAAAGGAGAGGGTATCCTACCGGTGTGGCTCAGTGGCTGAGCATCAACCTATGAACCAGGAGGTCATGGTTCAGTTCCTGGCCAGGGCACATGCCTGGGTTGTGGGCTTGATCCCCAGTAGGGGGCATACAAGTAACAGCCAAGCAATGATTCTCATCATTGATGTTTCTATCTCTCTCTCCCTCTCCTTCCCTCTCTGAGATCAGGCATATATATTAGCCCTAACTGGTTTGGCTCAGTGGATAGAACATTAGCCTGCAGACTGAAGGGTCCCAGGTTAGATTCCAGTCAAGGGCATGTACCTTGGTTGCGGGCACATCCCCAGTTGGGGGTGTACAGGAGGCAGCTGATCGATGTTTCTCTCTCATCAATGTTTCTAACTCTCTATCCCTCTCCCTTCCTCTCTGTAAAAAAATCAATAAAATATATTTTTTTAAAAAA